GCGCGGCACGCGGTGCGGCGCACGTGGGGCAACGAGGGCGCGGCGGGCGGCGCGCGCTGAGCCGCGCTCTCCGTGCCCGCGCAGGCGCCGGCTCGGCCGCCATGCCGCTGTGGGACTTCCAGGGCAGCACCATGGTCACCAGCCAGTACGTGCGCCTCACGCCCGACGAGCGCAGCAGGGAGGGCTCCATCTGGAACCGCGTGGTGAGAGCGGCGGGCGGCCGCGCCGCCGAGCCGGGTGAACCGGGGGGGCTCGGCCCTGACGCCGCCCTGTCCCCCTCTCTCCAGCCCTGCTTCCTCAAGGACTGGGAGCTCCACGTGCACTTCAAGATCCACGGCGCCGGCAAGAAGAACCTGCACGGCGACGGGCTGGCGCTGTGGTACACGCAGGAGCGGCTCACGCCAGGTGCGACGCCGTCCGGAGCAGCTCCGGGAGCCGCCGCCGTCCCGGAGCGTTTCTATCTAGAGCTTTCCCCTCTCTGTGTTTTCTCTTGAGCGCCTTGTGCCTGCTGCCCTGGGAGCAGCTGAACTCGTTGATTTGCAGGGATCTGCGCAGGTGTTTTTAACAGCGGTGGTGCTGGGGGCTGCTGTTTGCCCTGTCCCGTGGTGGGCCCCATGGGGAGGGTGGCTCCGGGCCACCTGCTTGCGGGTCTTGTGCCCGGTGCTCGTGCAGCTGCGCTGGGGGTGGGTGCGGGAAGAGATCCCGCTGTGCTGCCAGACCCACCACAAGGTGCTTCAATACACGAGTGAGAGGTGGTTACTCTTCTGCTTGCTTCGTTTGGGGCTCTCTAAGAGGGGGCAGGAATGCGTACGATTTTTCTTCTCTGACAAGTTCGTATTTCCTGAAACCTGCTCCRTTCCAGGCCCTGTCTTTGGCAGCAAGGATAACTTTCATGGATTGGCTATTTTCCTGGATACCTACCCCAATGATGAAGCAACAGAGGTGAGTAGTGCAGGGAGGCTGTTCCGCGCTGTGGAGGCTGCTTCCTCCTGGCTTTGCACTCTGTTCTGAATGCCTGGACCAAGGAGCCCTTTCTCCCTATGTGAGGCTTCTCTGCCTGTTACGGGAGCTGGTAAAGGAAAGAGGACAAGCGTGTGTTAACGGAGGMAAGGGGCTTGTTCTATCTTGTGGTGTCGCTCGCTATTTAGATACGTTTTCAAGACCCTGTTCCTGCTGGTTAATAGAGCCGTGCAGAGCCAGTGCCAACTGGGCACCACCTACCAAGTCAGGCTAGGGAAATCCACCTGGAAGCTTATCCAGCACTGTGGAATGTCCTGGCCTGTAAGGCTGCTTGATATGGAAGATCACAGATGGCTGTTGTAACAGCAGCTCTGTGCTCTCTGAAGGGGGCCCAAAGCACAGAGGTTTTTTGACTAGAGGATGAGCTCTAGGAGAGGATGACAGTTGATTGGAGTCTCATAAATGAAAATTAAGGTTTGTTTGTTTCTGAGTTTGCTTTGGTTGAGCACAGAAAGCCACAGGCTGCTTAGGGAGAACTGGCCTTGAGTCATGCAGGCAGAAGTCAGCAGAGTTTCGTTCCCCCRTGGGGGTTATTTCTGCTGCCTAGCTGTGCTGCAGGCAGCTGGAGCTCTCGGTTGGTTTTGAAGCCGTTTCGTGTGGGAAAGGAGCCTTGGTTGATTGTTCTGCCCGGCTGCACAGGCAGAGCCGTGGCCCTGTTGCTGCGGGGTGCCCTGCTCGAGCTTCTGGCCGRGCAGGGGGTGGCAGCCGCCGCAGGGCTGCAGCTCAGTCTCCCGCGCTGTTTGCTCACCCGCAGCGCGTCTTCCCGTACATCTCCGCCATGGTCAACAACGGCTCCCTGACTTACGATCACAGCAAGGACGGGCGCTGGACGGAGCTGGCAGGGTGCACGGCCGACCTGCGGAACCAGAACCACGACACCTTCCTGGCCATCCGCTACTCCCGAGGCCGGCTCACGGTGAGATGCGGGAGAGCCCTGCGCCTTCTGCTGGCACCTTGGGCCTCTTGGGGTGGTCCTGAGGGTGGTGTTGCTGTGTCCACAGGTGACCTGGAAGCAGCTGGCCAGGCTTGCTCCTCCCCTCCTCCTGCACCAGGAGAGCTGCAGGCTGGGCAGGATGGTGGGCAGCTTTCTTTGACACGATGCTCCTGTTCTGTCCTACAGGTGATGACAGATGTAGAAGACAAGAATGAATGGAAGAACTGTATTGACATTGCAGGGGTCCGACTGCCTACTGGCTACTACTTTGGGGCCTCTGCTGGCACTGGAGACTTGTCTGGTGAGTGGGCTTTGCTCACAGGGACTACCTACCCTCCAGACTACTTGCCATCCAGTGCTTGAAATACAATGTACTGGATGCAGTAGCTTGCCTATTTTCCCTGAATTTTCCACTAGGCTCTTCAAATCCTATTTGCTTTAGGATTAGCAGTCTGGGAATGGAGGAAACTGAAAATGGAGGAACATCTCAAACTGCAGTCTGATACCTGGGGTGTGAGGGTGGCTTGAGGGAAAGGAGATCTGGACCTGGCAGAGCACAGATCCAGAGGCCCCTCTCAGGGCATCTCCCAAAGCCTCTGCTGTCTCTAGTGCTGATGGTTGTTTCCTAGACAATCATGACGTTATCTCGATGAAGCTATTCCAGCTTATGGTGGATCACTCTCCAGAGGATGAAAACATTGACTGGACCAAGGTTGAGCCTAGTGTCAGCCTCTTTAAGTCCCCCAAAGGTGAGTCTCTGAGCTTCAGAAACCTGATGTGGAATTCAGGGTGTTGTTTCTGTTTTCCTCTAAGGCCTGTTGGAAGTTTGGTTGCAATATAGTGGTTGCTCGTTGTGCATGTGGACACCAGCATCACATGTTGGCAACTAGAGGTTGCTGCCAGTGCAGTGGAAGAAAATGTCTTGTGCAGAACCTGCATCCTTTGGGCACGGTGCTCTCTTTGGTTGAGCAGCAGCTTGCCTGGGAGCAGCACTAGAGCCGGGCCTCCCTGCACACCTCGAGGCTTGGCAGCTCAGACTTCTCTTGTTCCTGCAGACAACGTGGATGACCCGACGGGCAATTTCCGGAGCGGGCCGCTGACGGGCTGGAAGGTGTTCCTGCTGCTGCTCTGCGCRCTGCTGGGCATCATCGTGTGCGCCGTGGTGGGAGCTGTGGTCTTCCAGAAACGCCAGGAGCGGAACAAGCGTTTCTACTAGYGGAAGAACTGGGCTGGGGTCTATGCCCAAACTAATTTTTTTTTTCCTAGGGGGAGCTGTAAAAACTGGTTTCTAAAAGCTGTTTCTGATAAATATCAGAAGTATTTTCTTACCTGCCCGTTCTGCTGTAACTCCTGCTGGATGCTCAGCATTCAAGGGGCTGAACCGAGGCAGGTGGCTCCGGTGGGGCGTGTATCTCCTGTGGAAGTGGCCCTTGTCCCCAGGCTGCAGCGTGGGGGACCTGGAGCCGCTGCCCGCGGTGCTCCTGCCCCCTCTCCAGGGGTCTCCGGTGGGCCTGGCCCCCCTGTGCTGCCTGGGGGGGCTGGGGGCAGGGGCTGTGACTGAATGTAAGCAGGTGGCTGGGGCTGCAACTGGGCCATTAAAGGACTGATACTGCCTGGGTGCCGCGTGTCTGTGTGGGGTGAGGGCGACGGGGCTCAGCCTGCAGCAGGGGCAGAGGCGGCTCAGGGCTGCGGGCAGCAGCAGCTCTAGCCCTGCAGCTTGGGGGCTCGTTGGCCCGGCTGGGGCAGGGGAAGCCCTAGGGGCCCCCAGCTCCGTGGAGGGGGGGATCCTGGTGGTGGGGGGGTGGCATTTGCTCAGGATCCTGCCCGGSAAGGGGAGGCAACTCCTGGAGCCTTCCCCCCAGCGTAGGGCTAAGAGGGGCTAGTCCGGGGGGGCTGGTCCTGGRGGAGGCTGCTGCTGGGAGGAGGGGGCGCGCGAGGAAGATCCCTGCAGTGGGGGGGGTCCTGCACGGGCCTGGCCGCTCCACCGCGGGGACGGGG